GGGAGTGGGGAGACGACTCTTTCCCCGATGTGGGACAGAGGTAAAGGCTACTGTGGGGCGAGTCCTGCAGGTTAGCCGAAATCCTTCTGTGGAGGGCGGTATATCCCGGTAATGGGAGGAGTGCCCTTGGAAGACAGGGTCCCGGTAATGGGGCAGGGTCTTCACAGTTCAGGATACTTTATTTGAGCTTTTTGAATTGTACTCTGTCAACTTATTACATGTTGTTCCAAGTACTTTAAGTAGTGAAACAAGTTAGCGAGACTCATGGACTTGATGATTTCGAAAGCCTTTTTCAGGTAAAATATAATTTAGTTTGTTTGAATTGAATGTGAGCAATGTAGTTTATTGTATATTCGTAATTATTTTGTACAAAATATAGGATTTTGAAAAACGTGAAGAAGAAGATTCTCTTGTTTCTCGAGTGACTGAGTTGCAGTTGTATTTTAATGAAAAAGGCTTGATCGAAAGAAGGACTTGAATATTCTAACCTTTTGGAAAGGAGAGTAGTTTCGGCATCCTATATTGTCTCGGTTGGCTTGTGATGTGATGGCAAATCCTATTTCTACAGTTGCATCTGAATTTGCATTTAGTACCGGTGATAGAGTTTTGAAAAAGTATCGAAGTTCACTTTTGCCAGAAATTGTCCAAGTTTTGATTTGTACTAGAGATTGGATTCATGGGAAGAGCAGTAAGTTTGATTTCATTTTACTAGTATTATTTTTTTCATTATCTAATTCATGTGATCATTGATTCATTTATGTTTTGTTGTGCTTAGTTGTAGATTATTCTAGTGATGATTCGGAAGGAGAAATAGATGATGATGTTTTCAATCAAAATATAAATTCTAATAAAGCTATATCTGCTCAATGTTCTAATTCTATAATTGATCATGACTAAAGAGAGGTAATGCCAAATTTTTGGTACTTTATCTAGTTATGAGTTTATTTAATTATTAATTTTATATAATATTTCATTTTAATTTGTGTAGGGCATGAGAATTTGATTGTTGAATCTGCTCGTTATCGTGGAGGTGGAGATTTGATATCTTTCATTGGATTTTGTGAATCATGGAATTTGTGGTTGTTTGAGATTTGGTTTGTAATATGATTGTTATTTCAGATTGTATTTATGATTGGATTGTATTTATAATTTGTAATATGGTTGTTGGTGGAATTTGGATATTTTGGATTATAGTTTGTACTTTATAATATGGTGTGGTATGGTATCTTTAAATATCACATTTATTTGTGTTAGTTTGTTAATTTTATAAAATTATATAACATTTTTAAATAAATAGGTAAATAGTTAAATAAGTGGCTTACCGTGTTAAATGGGTCAAATGGATGGTAATCAGGTAAATGGGTTAAACAGGTGGTAAACAGGTAAATGGATCAAACAAGTGGTTTACCGTGTTAACCCGACTCAACCCAACTTGACTCGTTTAAAATTAGACGTGTTAACTAAGTCGTGTCGTATTACCCGTTTATTAAATGATTCGTGTTCGTGTTTTTATTTTTTACCCATTTATTAAAAGTGTCGTGTACGAATTTACATATTTTTCACCCGTCACCCATTTAACCCGACACGTTTGACACCCCTAATATATACCCTTCATTGGTATTGACAGAACCTTCATATGGCTAGTACACTAACCCATAACATCGATCATCATGAACGAATAGTGTAAAATTTTAAACTTCACAAGGAACCAAACAATTCCACTATGAGTGATAGGAAACCTTCAAACCCTTTGAGGTAAGAAAAAAAATCTAATCACTATGCGATATAAATTCGAGTGAAATTCATGTTCATCACACTCACTCATACAAGAGATAATTTTATATTTTCACAAAATCCACATTTTCTGCAATTCTACAATTCTCAAGTAGAAGAATAAATCCATCGAAACATGTAAGAGATTGTAAAAAAAATGTATTCCAATTTGACAATAATCAAAATTTAGGAATTTTAGTCAAAACATGGATTTTTTGGATGTAAATCATGTGTCTATTCAAGGAAAATGATACATTTAATTGAATAACAATCCAAAACCTTGTTTATCTAACATATAATTACGAATACGAATCAAAAGATACATAATATAACCCTAATCCCTCAATCAGTGAATTTCAGAAAAAAAAAAACCCTACCTTAATCCGCGAGTAATATGATTCTACGTGTGTTTGATACAAGTTTATTGCATTAATCCTTTGTGATTTAGCACGTTCTTCTCCTTTTTCTTTTCCTTAAGGTTTTTTACTTTTGTTAGGAGTGAAACGTAAGTAAAAGGGCTTCAGGTCACGACCCTAAGCTATTTATAAGGTGAAAATAGAGAAAACTCTAAAATTTGGTTGAAGGCGTTCGAACTCTGGTACGGGCATTAACGTCGGTGTCTTTTTATCCCAATTTTCAGCTCTATTTTGACCTTGTTAGAAGTCAATTCATGAAAATTTCACAAAATACACTTTTATAACCCTTACACTCTACTTTATAGTGCTGCAAGAATTAGCTCAATCGAACATCGGGGTAAAAAATTATGGCCAAACTATTAAGGTAGTGTCAAATTCCTTTCTACCCGAATTCTCTCCAAAATGTGTTTAAAGTCCGAAATACTTTCAAACATCTAATACACCTTATATCACCTCTTTCAAGGTTTCTCGACCTTTCATATTCAATGGTAGTCTTATTTTGACCTAAAAGCATTTAAAAAATTACCTAACTACCCTTCTTGAATTTAAATACTTCCGAAACTAAAATTGACTCGAAAGTTAATACGCACAAAACTCAAACTTCAAGAATAATCTTTCAACAATGATTCAAAGTTCCTATCATCATGTTATTCATCTTCTGAGGACTCTTGATATTATCCTTATTTAAAAATAGTATGGGGTCTCACAATCCCACCCCTTACAAGAAAAATTCATCCTCGAAACTTAGTCGTCGACCCCATCTTTCTAATTCCAATTGACCATAAAGTCTCAATGCCAAATTATCCTCTAAATATCAAATCCAATATCATATATATTTTCGACATTCAAGATTTTTAGATCTATCTCTTCAACTTATACCCAAATAAATCTTATATGCAAGTTATTACCATTCCACTCAAGTTATCAACAATCTATCCCCTAAGTGTCATTCCTACTATCGCCTCATTTTTGTTCCAATGATCCTGCTATTTTATACCATTATTGTAGTTATTAAAAGTTCTCAAGCTTACCTTCATTCTTAATTTTTGGTTATCTATTATTGTAATGTCCCCAAAATCTACAAGAGAGACATTAACTATCTATCAACCATCAAACCATGAGAGTATACTAAAATAACCATTAAAACAATAAAACCCATAAAATTAATTCAATAAACAACTAAACTAATCCCAATAAAACATCAATAACGTCTTAAATTACATTATAAAATTAAAATAAATATTCTTCAACAAATAACTAAAGATCATCCATGTTAATATCAATCCATAACTATGAGCTAGGGAAAACATTGTTCTATCAAATCGTCTTCAAATTCAGCTGACCAATCTCATCTCTTTTAACTTAGCCATGAGCTTATAATGACTACAACTTATTTGATTCTAATATCATGACATTGCATGTGGTTTTAATATAGCTCATAAGTCATAACACATAGGAAAACCCTCTTTATATTAATGCTCCTTTTCCAATGAGGCCATTAAGGAGTCACTCCACTAGCCCTGTTTAGTCTCAAACCATTAAGCATAATATTCTTTGCACATTTTCAACTATATTAGCAAATTTTCTAAAATGTGCATTTATAAAGAATTAAAACTAAGTGATTTTTTTCTAGAAAGTACATTTAAAAACAAGTTAACCTTTTTTATGAGTTGGCATGTTTCTACATAATGACTTCAAAGTTTGAGAGGTGAAATTGACTAATTAAAGTATCAATTCATATTTTATATTCTAAATTTTATTTTTGTTTGAGAATCTCACTGTTTCTTTTGAAAGGAACTTGTTCAAGAATCTCTTTTTTAGGTCAATGTGCAACAAACTAACATAGGCAAGGGGTGATGCAAAAATATTGTAATAGAAGGCGCAAAATGAGATTGGAGCTATAGTTCAGGGCTACTAAGTGTAATTTATCGGCAGAAGAAATTGAAATTTGGAATTTACAATAAGAGCCTAATTATACCCAATCAAAATATCAACAAAAAACCGATCTAGCTTGTTATTATTTTATCTATTCATCAACCACCTAAGCATTTGTACAACGTGATAGGCCAGACCCAAGTTACAGATGCAGATCAACAAAAGTTGTCACAATTACAGTTGGGCAAGCCCACCTTCTTGAGAGACCCAACCTATAATCCTGTGCACACGAGAATCTCCATCTGAGGAGAGGGAATTCAGGGGGATGCAGTCATTAGGGACACATCACCAGTGTCACGAAATCACCTTGCACATTACGTGATAAGACAAGCTTCAAGGAATCACTTTGCTATCACCTTGTCCGTTACGAGGAATAAGACGAGCTTCATGCAAGCAACCAATTACGAGGATGACGCCTCAATTTGAGCCTCAGCGCTAACTTCATTTGCCTATAAATTATAAACTCCACCTATACATTATCTCAGTACACTACATCTCTTGAATAATAAGATTCTCTAGTCACTGTCACATTCCCAGTGGAGTTGGTCACCAAGACTGAACCACCAATCTTTGTGTTTACGTGTTAAACCTTGTTTACTTTATCCTCGATTGCTTTTGCATAAATATTTTTGTGCATCATCACAAGACAAAGTATAAAATTATTGATTCACTCATTTACTATACACAGAATCGAAGCAAGTTGCACAAACCAACCTTTATTCCATTCCTAAAAAGTAAAACTACTAAACCATCTAAGGCACATACAGGGGCATATCATTAGTAATCGTAACTATAATTCGACACCATATTTCTTTTCTTTTTTCATTGGTTTCCTGTTTAAACAAAGTATGCGTTATTTACTTGTGAATCCATTGTCAGCCTTCATCTCTTCTAGATTCGGTAGTAATTGGTCACGGACTTGCCATCAAAATCCTTAGTGAAGAATCTAGTCATGAAATCTGAGTGAGTGAATTGTCGGAAAACAGCTGGTTTATTTGGTGACACAAGCTCTGGTAATGGTCCATGCAAGTCCCCCATCATGCTTGGGTTGAAGAAAACTGGAATCGAAACTCGTGGCTCGTGAAACGGGTTGGCCACCACTCGATGCTCCACGCTTTTGTATTGATCATTGGAAATGATCTGCAAATGGAAATTAAACAATCTCAAAAGTTGCATTTTGAGGCCAAAGAAAGAAAAAAAAAATGAAACCAAATAGCAAAATAATGCAGTTTTTAGTTTCCTACACATGTTCATTTCCTCCCACCAAATAGACAGAAATCCTAGTTTCCATCCTACATTGTTCCTCACATGGTTAGATTAGAATTAAAATGATACATCACATTCCATCAATGTAGATGTTACAAACTCTAAGAAATTTAAGCAACAAAGCATAAAGTTTTATGTAAGTTACTGCTCAAACTGTTGAGCTTGTATGGAGAAAGAGGTCAAGCTCCATACTATCCCTAATATTTTAAGATTAATCGTTGAAGGACCTATGTAAAACTCGAAATATTTGGGCTTACAAGCAACAACTACTAGGTGATGAGTTTGAATCCGAGAGCAACCACTTTGGTGGTCAGATTTTAGAAATCAAAACTACATATTGCCCTTAACAAAGAGGATAAGGGTTTGCATTCAAAATGAGAGCCTCACTGTTCATAATAAGCATGAATATGTCTTCCTGCTTTTCAAGAGTAAGCATCTGGAGGGTGCCACCCACACCAACTAGAGCTCATCCATTCATTCATGGAATTATCGCCAGCCACAATTTGCCTCAGACCTTCTACCTCAAATGTTATCTTTTGAACCAAGCCAGAAATATTGAATTGGATGATGCCTATGACTCTACAGGACATACCAGTTATATCTTTCCTGAAATTTGTTATGATTCTAGAACCAGTCTAATTTGTAATGTTCAATTTAAATCCCTAGACCAAAATATTTGGCACTAAATACCATCTGATTTTTCTTTTCCCAAACTCACAATTCAATTTTCATATGACTAAGTGACTGAATTTTTAATGGTGATAATGTATTCTGATTCAGCCAAGTAAAATCAGGAAGACAGAAGCAGAAAATTGCAAGTTAATAAGCTATAGAATCTTATGTTAACTATTTTGCTAGCCAAATGTTTATGTCCACAGCCTAATTATTGGTCTAATATACCTATCTTCAGCACGGGCCAGAAAGGGGATGTTGAAGAAATCAATTATTTCTAAGTTGCAATTGATAAAATCCTTAGCCATCGAGCCTTGAGTTTCTACTCCCCTGCACCTTGATCACAAAAAGAGAATACTCTTATCACTACATTTGATTACTCCATACTTCCACTCTCTGTTTGAATCAGGATATAACAGGGGACTCTGTATATAACCATCATGAGCCTCCCTGGAACCAATTCCAGATGCTAGGCAGAGCTACTACACCTGTGTTAGGCCAATTGTTTAAAATTCTGCTTACTTATCTCACCTCTCTAACTTAGCCATGAGCTTAAAATGTTCAAAACATGTTTTATTCTAAAGAAGACCCTCCCAATGGTAACACTCATATTCAAATGAGGCATACAAGGAGTAATCTTAGATAATGAGAGCAATCTATACAAAAATTTCCATTAGATTCATATGAAGATAAAGTTTTCGAATGTGCTAACATGGGACGATGGAATTCATAGTTTTGAGTCTTTAAGAGGTGAAATTTGTTAACTAAACTAAGAGACAAGAATTCAAAAACTCTTTATTCTATAACTATAATTCTATTGTTGAATCTCACCTTCCATGAGCCTCCAGAACAGTATGACATTTTATCAATGTGTAAAAACTCTGAGACAGGGTTTTCATGCAGTGCCTCAGTGCAAAAATTCTCATTTTATGATTAGTTTCATTTAAACAAGCATCAAGTGTAAAGATTATCACTTCACTTTCAAATCCTTCACTAAACAAAAATCAAGCATACCTAAGCTATTCAATCTATCGTCGGAAAAAAAAAAAGTTATTCAATAAAACATCGATCACAGTTTCACCAAAAATGACCAACACACACTCACACACACACACGAGAGATATAACCAAGAAACAAAAAAGATTGGTGTGGCCTACCTGAAGCATATCACCAATGTTGATAACCAGACCACCAGGGACAGGTTTGACATCAATCCAATCCTGACCACACTTCACCTGCAATCCCGTAACCTCATTCTGCAACACCACCGTTAACACCCCGGGATCCGTGTGCCACGTCAGCCCAACGGTCAACTCCGGTTGCGGACAGTACGGATAGTAATGTCCCGCCATAATCCTATCCGCCAAACACGACATATCCTTCAACCTATCTGTTTTCACACCCAACCCCTCACACAGCATCCCCATCACCTCTTCCCCCAACTTCACCACCTCCCGGTCCCACTCCGCCACTGCATCCCGGCACACAGCCGGAACGTGCTTCGATTTCGGCGGTGAGGGGGCCAGACGGACCTGCAGTGAGTCCCTCCAGCTGGCAGCCTTGGAGTGGTACAAATCGAAGTTTGTGGAGTAGGCAATACCTTGGGACATGTCCCTACGATAATATTGCATTCTCATGTCATCTGGTAGTTCATGGAAAGACTTGATGGACGAAAGCATGCGGTTCATGACATGTTTGGGTATGCTGTGGTTGATTATCTGGAAGAACCCAAGTGTGGAGGAGGAAAGACGAATCTGGTCGACGACAGTTGACCGGGGCCGGAGAGATCGATGATGGGGATTGAGAGTTTAGGTGTTTGGGTTTCGGGTTTTGGTTTAGAAACGTTTTGGGGTGGGTGGTGGAAGAAGCGAGGGATGGTGGTGACGCCGGAATCAACGAGGCCTTTGACTCCGGTTCTGGTTTCATCGAATTTTGTTACTTCTTGGAGTCTGTCATAGTTTTGGTCTGGGTTCGTCTTTCTATTGATGGCCATGTTTAGTGACTTTCTCATCTGAAATGATGATGAACTATGGTCTTGTTGAGTTTGCTCTTTCTTTGGGAAAGAAAACAATAGAAATGGTCAGGATTTATAGTTGGCGTATGGGATGGGAACCAGATTCGGATGGATATAAGAATAATAGTTTTATACCGTTTGCTTGTCGAGAATTGGAATCTAGATTTGTGATGATACAAGAATAAGTTTTGTATTGTTGTTCATTGTTGACAATAGGCTTCTAGAATTTTAAGGCAAAAGGACGGAGGAGGCAGATTTTCCAATGAGAGAGAAAAAGGGAACGCGGTCTATTCACACGATGGACTTCTAGAATCTTAGCGCAAAACTAGGAGAAAAATTTATCAGCCAGAGAGAAAGAGAGAGAGAGAGAGAGAGAGAGAGAGAGAGAGAGAGCGAACGCGGTTTCTATATATATTAATGTAGTTTTTTTCTACAAAAATAATTGCATAGTTGACTACTCAATTCCACATTCTAGAACACCTATGAGGAGTCACCTGTGATTTTCGGGAACATATTTTGAGGAAATAATTTCAAGAATTAATAATTTTTGTCATTAAATTATGCCTGAGTCCTAATATAAATAGTCATAATCTATTAAATTCTCAAATTGTATCTCAATAACATTAATGTATCAAGAAACTACCAATTTCAAGAAAATTTTTGATGATGCACAAATTGGTATTGCGCAAAATCAACAGTCGAGTATATGAACTGGTGCAGTTATGAGCAATTAATAAATAATCAATGACAATCAAGAGCAAAAACGGAAAATAGGCAATCAACTCAAAAAATTATAATAGTTCGATCCGGGTGACTTACTGCACTCTCGGCAACGGCGGATTGAGTCTTTTATTAATTAATGAAGTCGCCGGAGAGAGTATTTTCCAAGAGTATTACAGTGCTTAGAGGGGGAGAAAGAAAGAGAGAGAGAGAGAGAGAGAGAGCAATGTGTGTAAGAAGGTGTAGTATATGTAGGGATCTCAAGGTCATGAAAGCATGCTCTTTATGTGCAGAGGATTTACATTATATAGGTTCACCAAGGCAGTGAGGCGGTGACGTGAGAAAGGAGGTTTCTACCATTTTGGTAAGTACAATTTTAGTACGATTGGATCTCCGTATCCCGATATTCTCTCGCTCGTGTCCCTATTCCGTCGAAGGATGATCTTGATCTTGAGCTTGGACTTGGAGTGGGCCCGACTTAGACTTGCATTGGAATAAAAAAGGGGGAAGAGGAACGGGAGGACAAGCCATGGGCAGCTCCCCTCTTTGGGGGATCCTTGACGCTGGCCTCTTGGCTTCTTTGGGCATGAGTCTTTTGATGTCCTTTTGGATTTCCTCCTGATGGGTCAACCTAGGTTCAGTTGGGCTCTTATTTGGGCTTTCTTGGTTTATTTAAATTGGGCTTGACTCAATCAAATTCGGGCTCATCAATTTTCATTGATATATTTCAATGAATATGGATCCTCTCGCAATTCCAAATATTCATGTTATTAGAACATAGTTTGAGGATTTAATGTATTGTGAACGTTTGATTGATAGTGGTGTGCATTCAATGTTAGGATCCACATACAATTTAATGATCACAATCATTAAATTTTTAACTTATATTCTCAAATTATTTTTCAATAGCATTACTCTTATTTTTAATTAATTTTAATTTACATAAATATAAAATAGACAGGACAACTGGTGCCTCATGCCAACAGTATAATTGTTTACACAAAAAAATATGCAAAAATCTGAAAAGGACACATTACATGATTCAATAGATGGGGTTCAATCTAGAAAGATCGTAGACGATTAGGGGAGTACGAAAAAAGATCCCCAATGAGCTCGACAAGTGGAGAGATCTGTCATAACGTGACGTCTTGAAGATGTCGGTTATAAATAGTTGGAGGCATGTTGATAGTCGTTGTAGAGAAAGGCCCTAAGTACAGTCTGAGTGGCCCAAAAAAATTGCTACAACGATTAAAAATCACTGTTTATAAATATAGAGAGACAAGTCAGAGGGATATTGATCTAATACCATCATACTAGACTTGCTTTTGTATTGTTTAATTTCATGTTTTTTGTTTTGTCTTTGGTTCAGGGTAGTTCCATCGTCTTTTCAGTGATTAGGTTTAGCTTCTTTCACACATAATATTCAATAAAATCGTTCTACTTGGTTATGCCTACTATGATTTTTACCCAATTTATTCAGTTATTTCCTTTTCAATTTCTTGTTTTTCTAGAATAGTTCAAATCCTTGAACTTGAAGGCATAGAAAAGAATTTGGAGGTAGTCTTGCATTTCGCTAGTCGCCTGATCAATCACGGTCAAGAACTTCATGTCGGTTTGAGTAGGTAAGTGCGAATTATTTGGAATTGTTAAGTTCATTTGGACTTTGACATGCGCGCATGTACAAATACGTCAAACAATAATATAATATGATATTGAATAAATAATCTTTAATTTGTAATTTTAAATGAATTTTGTGTAGCAATTTTTTTTCGAAGAAAATATGTTTTTACTTACGTGAAAACACTATGATTCAACTTGTTCAGTCTAGTTATTTGAGTATTAAGTCATTTTGTGTATTTACATGTCAACAACATTGAAACCAACTATATTTGTCACAAATTAGCACTAGTGAAACAATTTTCTCCACACAAGTGCAAAAATTAAGGGTTAAAATAACAAAAAAGAAATTTAATAAGATTTGATGTAGCTAAATATGTCCTAGGGTAAGCATGTGTCAAGCACAATCACGTGCCTAGAGGGATCATGAGACAAATACATGAGTTAGATCAATTGTTGGGAAACAACCCTAGAACCCAAACCAACTCGCTCGCCTATATCCCATCATTTTAGCTCAAAGAAGTTACAGATACTTGGGGAATGTGGTTTTACATTTCTTGCCACCCAATTTGAAAAATAGCTAAAGAGCTCCAACGATAACAGGAGCTTAGCTTATAAAGGAAAGAAGACAGCTATGCCCTAGGTAAATAACTCCTCTTAGCCAAACTCCACCCAATCTATAATTCTTTTACTAACTTTATCATCGGAGGGTCCACCGTCGGAGCTTCTTCGGTCCTTGACTTCTGTGCAAGAACTCACCGATAATCACCATATCATCACTTCACCTTGGTGCTATTTTTTTGGGAACAACAATTGGCATCATCCCACCTAGTAGGATGATGGAACATCTGCCACCAAAAAAGGAATCCACAAAGGTTAAAAGGTTAGAGAAAGCTATTGAGGATCTAAAGAAGCAAAGTCAACAGATTTTTGAGCTCCTAGAACAATCTCAAACCAAGGAATATGCCACAGATAATTGGGGAAATGACTTCGAGGTAAACGAAAAGCTAGGAAAGGTCATAAATACGATCAAGGCTTGCGTCCTAGAAACCATTAAGGCTTTGGTTCAACACACCGACTCACCATTCTCGCAAGATGTGGCAAATTACCCTCTCCCAAAGAGGTTCAAGATGCCAACCATTGAGGCATTTGATGGAACGAAGGACCCACTAGACCATCTTGTGCCTTATAGATCTCTAATAATGCTTCATAGTATGCTAGACCAAATCATGTGTCGAGTCTTCGCCACCACACTTAATGGGACAACAAGACATTAGTTCAACAAGCTGAAGCCGGACTCGATCAAAAAATTTAGGGAGTTAAGCACCTTTTTCATCTTGCATTTCATCGGGGGCCAAGCTCATAGGTGACCTTTCACCTACCTTCACAATATCAAGCAATTTAAAAGTGAAACACTTCGAGAGTACGTAAACTATTTCACAATAGAATCATTACAAATTGACAACGTTGATGACAAGGTGGCTCTAACTACCTTCATAAAAGGCCTCCATCCCTCCCAGTTCCTTTTTTCCCTTTCTAAAGAACCACCCTCCTTCATGGCCGAGCTCTTGGCGACAGATCAAGGCTCTCTGAACGCTGAAGATACTCTCCTAGTTCAAAAGAATCAGAAAGACAGGCAATAGGACTAGAAAGATGCTAAAAAGAGGCGAGATTCCACAAAGAAGAAGGAAAAGACAAGTAGTCCTAAGAAGAATTGCACCGAGATAGTAAGTGCGAGGGATTGATTAGGTCTGCGCACCAATGAGCCAGCCTAGAGGTACACCCCTTTAAACACCTCTGTGGAGCAAATCGTTGTCCAAATATAGGGTGAGAGAATGCTCAAATGGCTCAAAACGATGAAAAATCCTTCTAATAGGAGATCTAGGGACAAATACTGTCGCTTCCATTGAGATCATGGCCATAACATCGATGATTGTCAAGTCTTGAAAGACCAAATAGAAGATTTGATCCAGAAAGGCCATTGAGGAGGTACATAAAGCGCCGTCGACGAACTGTTTAGAGCTGTAACTCTCCCAGTAAGAACCTGGACTTCTCTAATATTTAGTGGGGATCTCATCTCCATGAGTGTTTTTATCTTTTATGGGTTGGCCTCTATCTGTCTTTGGGTCACCATGAACCCTAAAAATTCCCAAAAGATACCTTAAAAGCACTATTAGTTGGGCTCAGCTTCATATTGTATCTCTTTGAGGATGTCAAAGGTTCTTCCTAACTACTCAATATGCTCTATAGCTTGGAATATTTTGACAAGCATGTCATTGACGTACACCTCCATTGAACGAATGATGATTTCTTTAAAAATGTGGTTAACTAGTTACTGGTAGGTGGCTCCTGTGTTCTTCAAAGTTCTCAAGAAAGCCT